CACTGAGACCCTGTCCCCAGGCTTCACCATGGCTACCTATCCAGATACCAGAATCTAAAGACCCAAAACTAAAAATATAAATTTAAAGTCAAATCCAGCAAGTATTAAAAATATTTACAGAATGAGGACTGAACTCTGATGTTTTCCTTTGCCATCCCCACCCCCCCAAAAAAATTCCTTTCTAATAGGGCCTGGTGAGTTATGCCTACAAATGATAAAATCCCAGTAAATAGGTTGTTACGATGTGTTTTACTTCCTGACAAGATTCTAGTTTATTAATAGCATCACATGAGGATAGAAGACCCTTATCTTAACGCAAGCATTCCTTTCCTCTTGTCAGGTTTCAGTCTTCAACTGTTGGTTCTTGGTACGCGCATGGCTGAAAAATGACCAGATGCGCCAAAGTTAGGCAAGTACGAAAATGAGGTTTATTGAGGAGAGAAAGATTGGATTATAGAGCGAGTGCAAGATATAGGTTTACAGAGCATGGTACATACACCACAGATGACGACGGGACCCCTCGTTGCAGCAGGAAAAGAGAGCTTGGTTATGGTCCGGGTCTTGTTTTATGGTGTCCAAATAGAGACCTCTCCGTGGTTCAAATGTCACCATAGAACCACTTTGATTGGACAGTTGGGGACCTGCATGACCTGAGTCTTACTGTGCATGTGGGTTCTAGGTCATTTTCCCGACTTTATGGTACCCATGAGGGTTGTCTGGTGGGCTAGAGAGTCCTCTGCATTCTTTTGCAGCTGGCGTGCCAAGTTCTGATTGGCAGATTCGTAGGGTATTCCCTCCTCCCCCAGGTATGGAGAATTAGGGTTGGGCAGGACCAAGATGGGAGCAACAGTACCTACTTTTGTCCCTAGGAGACCCGGAATCATTCACTATCTACCTAACACTCTGCTTCCTGGTTTTTGGACAAGGCCTAACTCTTTCAGCCAATTGTCAACTAAAAAATCCCCAAACCCACCTATGACTTGTAAGCCCCTTCTTTGAGATGTCCTACTTTTGGGGACCAAACCAATGTATGCCTTCTATGTATTGATTTAGGACTTTACCTGTAATTCCTGTCTCCCAAAATGTATAAAACCAAACTGTAACCCAGCCACAGAGAGTCCACTTGCTCAAGACTTCTTGGGCATGGCTCTGGGCCATGGTCCTCAAATTTAGCTCAGAATAAATCTCCCTAAATTATTTTACAGAGTTTGGCTTCTTTTCTCATGACAAGATACAATAATTTTATGACCTTAAAATGTTTAGCAGACATAGTATCTGGCCTGCCTGATGGACAGATTCAGGTGAAAATGTTTAGTCATCAGCCCGATCCAATCTAAAAGGACAGCTGGATTGAAATTATGTTATTGAAAATGGAACAAGTGAAAAAACCACTTGTATTTTTCATGTGCCTGAACCCTTTACATATAAAAAGCCTCATGCACCTCTCATAGGTGGAAGAAGACTGGAAATTTAAGGTTGCCTATGGCTTGAAAAGCAGCAAAAAGAGAGACAGAGAAAGAGAGAGAAAGGAAAAGACTAGTTAGCAAAAAGTGGTCTTGTTATGTAAATGAAG